CCGCCGCGGCCCAAGCCTGCCTTCGGGCCGGGCGCTGTCCGCCGGCTCAAGCCCAGGATGTCGCCGGGCAGAAGAAGGAAGGTGGCCGGGGCAGGCGGGGCCAAATAGGGCGCTGGAGAGCAGGCTACCTGCGGCCGGGTCCAGTCCCCAAACCAGCAGCAGCAGCAAGGGCAGGACGAGAGGAGGTAGCAGGGCGCCGTCACACATGGTACTGGGGCAGCGGAGGCCCGCGGACGGTCCCGGCAGAGGAAGAGCGCGGGAGGCAGCGGCGCCAGCCGAAGTGAAGCCCTCAAGCCTTTGGAAAAAGTAATTAGCGCTGCGGACAAACCCAACGTGGTAAACCCCAAGCCCCGCCTTTCCCTTGGAAAGCAGGAGATGATTGGGCTCTCTCTCGCCCCTGCCCCGCCTCCCTTCCTCCTATTGGCTAAGACGGGTCAAAACCAGGGTACGTAGTTAGGTTGTAAGCACTTTCTTACACGTGGTTTCTGGGCAGTAGCGGAGAAGGGACGCCAGGTGGCGCGCAGGAGCTGATCTGAGCCGCACCATCCTGGAGGGACCAGGGGAGGACACTGGGCTGGTCTTGCAAACTGTTGAGTCGCGTGTCCTCATTTTGGAAATCCCGACTGCCCCCCAGCTCCCTGGGAAGATAAGCCGGAAATCGTCCTGGCCAACCGGTTTCATCCTAAAAAGCATATTCTTTCTGCATCTGAAGTAAAACCAGGGAGGATTCCTAAGCCGCTTTGAGGCACACCTGAGTTTGCTCCTCATGGCTACACTCGCAGTGTTTATCAAAATAACCCACAGTTCCTTTATCTTCACAGAAGCCAGTGGAACAGGCATGATCATACCCTCTTTTGTTGTTATTAGTTGCCATGGAGTGTGCTCCAACTCGTGGTGACCGTATGTATAACAGAACAAAACGTGCAGGTCCTGTGCCATCTTCATGATCATGGATATGTTTGAGTCTGTTGTTGTGGCATTGTGTCCGTCCGTCTCCTTGAGGTTTTCCTTCTTTTTCATTGGCCCTCTACCAAACATGATGACCTTTTCTAGCAATTGGTCTTTCCTGATGACATATCCAAAGTAAGCGATTGAAATCTCACCATCCTCACTTCTAAGGAGTATTCTGGTTGTTTTTTGTTGGTTTGTTGGTTTGTTTTTGTGCTTTAGGTGAAAGTTTACAGCTCAAGTTACTTTCTCATTCAAATATTTATATGCATATTGTTTTGTGACATTGGTTACAATCCCCACAATGTGACAGCATTCTCCCACTTTCTACTCCAGGTTCCCTGTGTCCATTCATCCAGTTCCTGTCCCTTCCTGCCTTCTTACTTTGCTTTTGGGCAGGAGTTGCCTATTTAGTCTCGTCTATCTGATTGAACGTTCCTCACGTGTTATTTTTTTTTGTTTTCTAGGCCTATCTAATCTTTTTCTGAAGAGTGGGCTTTGGAAGTAGTTTCAGTTCTGAGTTAGCAGAGTGTCCAGGGGCCATAGTCTCGGGGATTCTGGTATTTCTTCTAAGACTGATTTGCTTGTTTTTCTGGCAGTCCATGATATTTTCAATATTCTTCACCAACACCACAATTCAAATGCATCAATTCTTCTGCCTTCCTTTCTAATTGTCCAGCTTTTTCACATGTATATGAGGCAATTGAAAAGACAATGGTAGCGAGCAGCCATCTAAGATACATCAGTTGGTCCCAACCCACCTGGAGCAAAGGAGAATGAAGAACACCAAAGACACAAGGAAAGTATTAGCCCAAGAGACAGAAAGGGCCACATAAACCAGAGACTCCACAGCCTAAGACCAGAAGAACTAGATGGTGTCTGGCTATCACCAATGACCGCCCTGACAGGGAACACAATGGAGAGTCCCTGACGAAGCAGGAGAAAAGTGGGGTGCAGAATTCAAATTCTAGTAAACAGACGAGCCTTAATGGTCTCACTGAGACTAGAGGGACCCCAGAAGACATAGCCTCTGGTTCTTCGTTAGCCCAGAACTGAAACCATTCCCAAAGCCAACTCTTCAGACAGAGATTAGACTGGACTATGGGACATAAAATGATACTCATGAAGAAAGTGCTTCTTAGCTCAGGTAGGTACATGAGACTAGATGGGCAGCTCCTGTCCGGAGGCAAGATGAGAAGGCAAAAAGGGACAGGAGCTGGTTGAATGGACACGGGAAATCCAGGGTGGAAAGGGGGAGTGTGCTGTCACATTATAAGGAGAGCAGCTACGGTCACATAGCAATTTGTGTATAAATTTTTGTATGAGAAGCTGACTTGAACTGTAAACTTTCACTTAAAGCACAATAAAAGAAAAAAAGAAAAGACAATGGTTTGAGTCAGGTGCACGTGAGTCCTCAAGGTGACATCTTTGCTTTATAGGACTTTAAGGAGGTCTTTAACAGCAGATTTGCCCAATGCAGTACATCATTTGATTTTTTACTGTTGCTTCCATAAACATTGATCGTCCATCCAAGTAGAATGAAATCCTTGAAAACTTCAATTTTTTCTCCATTTATCATGATGTTTTCCTTTATCACATACCCTCTTACAGACTGAGAAACTCAGAAAGAAAGAGTTTAAAGAGCGTGCTTAAAGTTACCCAGTGAGTTTCCATCATAGCAAGGGCTAGAATTTGTGATCCTGACTCCTAGCCCAACATTGTTCACTTCTGACAGCAAGAGCCCTGCGAGGCAGGCAGTTCAGAACATTAGCCCAGTTCTACTGGCTGGGAAGGAGTCCCTGGGTGGCACAGATGATTAAGTGCTTGACCATTAGCCAAAAGGTTGGTGGTTTGAACCCACCTAGAGGCACCTCATAAGAAAGGCCTGGCGATCTACTTCCAAAAGGTCATAGCCATAAAAACCCTAAGGAGCACAGTTCTACTCTGACACACATGGGATCCCCACAAGTTGGAATCAACTTGACGGCAACTAATAACAACGAACACTGGTTGGGAAACTGGGCACAAAATGGCAAAGTCTGAACCTGAGCCCAAGTCTTTCAGCAACAGTTGTTTCTTTTCCCACCAGAAAAGAGGTGGGTCTGCTGTAACGGTGATTCCTTCGCTCTCCTGAGGAGCATCTTGTAGTAAACAAAACAGAATTAACTGAAGCATAGCCATTCCGAGACCGCTGCCCACTTTGCTTTCTTGCTGGAGACCAGTTCTTTTTTCTGAAAGCAGAAAGGTTAGGGCTCTTCTACTGAACTCTTTGCTCAGGCCTCAGAATCTAAAATGCATCACAGGATTATATATCATCAGAAGGAATCAAGAGGTGAGGTTAATAACTGTCCAGCTTCCATGACATTTAATTAACCCTGATGTTGGACTGTGTCACTGATTCTCAATAAAGCCCACCACATGCCCTAGGGAAGTGCTCTGCTCTGCGCCTCTCTAGGGTGTGCCTGATAGAATCCTTTCACTCTGTGGACATCTGCCCTCCACAGAGGCTTGCCACAGAAGGTCCTGCGAGTCCATCCACTGCTCCAAGGGCTGCCTCTCACTGCCTGGCTCCTGTAGCTCCTGGGAGCATCAGCACTTGTGAGAGCATGGCTAGGCTCAGGGCTATGTCCCTCAACCTTGAGTGCATCCAAATCAGCATCCTCAGCCACCTGGAGGCTCAACAGCATTTTCTAGCAGCACAGTAAATCACGGGGAGCTTCTGGTGCAGCTTTGTTGGTGACAAGGGCCACCTCAATGGCTTGCCACTGAAAGCCATGGAATAGTGGCCACACTGCTTCATTAACATAACTGCCTCTAATCCTGCCTCACTAACATCACAGAGGTTAGAATTTACAACACATAAGAAAATTATATCAGATCACAAAATGGAGGACAACCACACAATACTGGAATCATGGCCTAGCCAGTTGACACACATTTTGGGGGGACACAGTTCAATCCACAACATCCCCCCTTCCCTGCTCAACTTCGGAGTACCCCACCTCATCCCACACTTTTGGCAGAGGATATGCTCCCATATGACAAAGAAAATCTCCAGCCCAGAGCCCTCCTCCCAGGTCCAGACTACACATCCAGCTGCCTAGTTGACCTTTTTGCCGGACAAGACCATGGAGTATGGTCCAGTTTCAAGGACGGATGGACTTGGTTCTGATCTGCTTTTATTTTGATTTGATCCTCAAGCAGGAAATCAGCAGTGTGGAGGATATAAACAAGACAGGGCAGAAAACCTGAAGGAGCCTGGGACACCTATGTCGTTAGGCACACATTGCACCTCTTTGGTTCACCCTATTTGGTTAAGCCACCTTGGTGCAGGTTTAGTTACACGTTGCCAGACACACCACCACCGATCTGTCAGTTTGTTGCACTGTGGTGGCTTGTACCTTGCTATGATGCTGGAGCTATACCATCAGTATTTCAAATACCAGCAGGGTCACCCATGGTGGACAGATTTCAGCAGAGCCTCCAGACTAAGACAGACTAGGAGGAAAGGTCTGGCCATCTACTTTCAAAAATTAGCCCACCGAAACCCTATGGATCGACCAGAATTCTCCTTAGAAGCGAGGATAGCGAGAATTCAACTCACTCACTGACATCAGGAGGGACCAATCGCTAGAAAAGGACGTCATGTTTGGTACAGGCAAGGGTCAGTGAAACGAGGGAAACCCTCAATGAGATGGATTGACCCAACAGCCACAACAATGGACTGAAACATACCAACTATCATGCAGATGGCTCAGCACCGGGCAACGCTTTTTTCTGTTATACTTAAGGTGGCCATGAATCGAGCCAACTTGACAGCAACTAAGAGCAACAGCCAAACACATATATGAGATAATGTCAGACGATCCTCCAGGATAACTACTTCTCCCATCCAAGCCCTTGATGAGGATTGGCAGCCAGGAGTCAGGACTGCATCCTCCTGCAGGACCTGAAGTGCAGTCATTCTCTGATGCTGAATAAGGCAATAGCCATATGCAGTCAGCAAGTACAGAGCAGAAGCAAGGCTGGCGTGTGCTTCTGGAAATTACAGAGCCTCAACAGTTGCTTTAGCTGGGATTGATGGCGACTCAATAGCAGAGAGAACATTTTCTTTTTCAGAGAAGAGTTTTAGGTCTGCTTCAAATGCTTGGACAAAAGCCCTCTGGGCCCCATAACAGGGAGCAGGCATTGGCAACATGCACTGTGCCCAAAAATTTGCATCTCACTGCCCATGCGATGTCTAAGGTTTAGGCAATCCA